TCTAATAATTCTGAAGAAGTTCAAGACCAGGCTAGGTGACCATACTTGAGTTTTTGATTTGTTTTATTTTATCCTGCCATTGTAAAATGTCATGTCTTGGCAACACAAACTGTTTAAATAGTGGATAATGTAGGAACTCCTGACATGTAAAACATGCTTGATTCTTCTCCGCTGTGAATACAGCAGTGGTGCACCTCTTTTGGAAAGAACTGCTCATTTTACTGATTTGGGTGTACTTCTCAAACAAATGTCATGTTGTCTTCAAAATTCCTGTGCCGTAACCCAACGATATTTATGGCCATGCCAATGCCTTTCATGAAGGGTAAAATTTAAAGAAGATATTTGAAAAGCCACTAGAGATGTATGTGTATTTTCTTTATGTACATGGTAAATCAGTAACTTAACATTGGAGCTGTCTATAAATTATTCCACATTGCTAGTTTCAAAGTTAAAATCCCTTCCACCTGGTTGTTACTGCATTTATGTTTTGAAGATGCCTCAGTTGTGTTTATTGGGGTGCTCCTTTTACAAGTATTGAGAAAGAAGCATAGTTAAGCAAGAAAAAAGTTTTCATGTTGAAATACAAATGTCAGTTTCTCAAATGAGTCCCCAAATACATGCATCAAATCATTGAGGGTCATTGTTTGAAAAAGTATTGATACTTATTAGACAGTAGGTAAGATAGGACTTTAAGTTTTGCCTGCACTTGCCATTATGACAGAAGCATGACTGGCCCAGAAGGAAAGGCATCTGCTGGTAAAGCAATGCTAGGAGTGCCAGTTATGCATATTAATCATTCAGGTAAACATACATTTTGGACATCTTTCTAAAAACTTACTTATGTTGCACTTAAACAGCCAAAAAACTTTCTGGGCTGCTTCACCATGCTTGGTGCACCATTTTTATGATCCTCACTGGGTTTAGCTATAGGGATCAGTATTGTCATGAACTTCATAATTTTACATGTGTTTTACATGCCTCAAATAAGTACTTGTTTTAATCCTTGAGTGGAACAGCTCTGATAAGGAGGTGGTTGTGAACTCTGACTGATTTTCAATTGCCATGTCCTTCTTTCAGGACAACTCCAGACGCGGACGAACGGCTGCCACTGCCTAGTTTCAGTGCCGAGCTGCTGGGCACCTCCGTCTTCAGCAACCCGTACCGGCAGGCGGAGGACGCGCGTCGGGCCATTCTCGAGAAGCACGTAAAGCTGACTACGGCGCCGGCCGACCTGCGCCAGATCAATGGCAAACAGGTGTGCTGGAACTACGCAAGGGCCGCTGTCCGCTTCGGCCGCGGATGCAAGTTCGCGCACGACTCGGACCTGCAGCGAAGCGGTGGACGAGCCGGCCGAGCCGCCGCCGACGACGACGCACGAGCAGGCTCCAAGCGGCCGGCACCCCCTGCCGACGGCCTGGGTGCCCAGTAGAAAACGGCCAGGACTCAGTCAGGACTCTTGTGCAGGCAAGAAGGTGGTGAAAATGTATAAACAGGACACAGCAAGGGACCATTAGTGTGAGACTCGTTGCGCTGGGGAAGATGCCTGCAAGCAGTCGTATGCATTGTTTGTTGTTTTATTTGTACAGCATTCTCATCCAAGCACATATTGTTCGCCCGAGCGTTTGCAAGTGCCGGCTCTTTTGAAACAACGGGCTTAATGGATGCAAATGAATGAACCCGTTTTACAGAGGTGTTCTTGTCATTGATACGGCGGACGAACGCGCCGTTGTTTGGGGAGTCTGAGGTATTACCAGTCATCCCGGGATATACTTCCCTATTCAATTGGGCAAAGGCTTCAGCCTCCCTCCCCTCAGTGTTGAGAAGCGGCCAACTGGAGCAGAAACCAGTTCACTGTCTATTTTGGGGGCAGGCTTAATCATTTTCCGGTGTTCGGCCACCATACCTCATTTTGCGAAGCTATGGCCCTGCAGCCGTCGTCACGTTTTGCATAGTTGAGGGTTACAAACACCAGATGTACCTGTCCATTGCATGCCGTAAGAATACATTTCTTGACATGGTTATTCGTTTTCCGTATTTCCGGCCTTTCAGTTATCGTAGAAATGTCTCAGACATATATGGTAGCTGTGCGACACGTCTGAAGACGAATGTTAGGGACCAGGAATGTAAAGCTCTTACGTTGTTTATCATTTTTTACCGTGAACCTGATGTTAAATACGTTATGCTAGTGTGACGCAGGAGTTCGTGATCGTGTGGAAGATCAAGATCCAGAAGTTGTTAATAAAAAACAAGTAAAGCGCGCCGCGTGTACGCGCAATTTCTTATGTGCCCTGGAACAGCACTACATGATCTCGATGTGCTGGTTTCTTTGCGTGTGGCTGGAATTTCTCGTTGCCGATGTTAAGCTGTGTACCTATTGAAGGGTATGACATTTGAAGATGTTGAACAAGAGCCAGGTATGATGAAATGAGCTCACTTATAAAGGTACGAGGTCTCTGGTATGTTTTGAAGCGAAAAAGACCAGCACAATTTCTCGTCCGTAAATATGCTCGTCGAAATATCATCATTAAGTACGTCATCATATCTTTGCAACATTGATTGAGAGCCAACTGAAGACGGTTATATTCGTGAATCGTGGTCACGAACGTCAGATGTTAACTAGTGGGCACTTATATTTTTTTGGCCCGTATCGTCGCATGGCTTAGGAATAGCAGGATTTGAATGACGTGGCGTCGTGGATGCGTGTGTGACCTTGAAGTAGTCACCCGAAATATTCCGCACATCTTCGCGGGCGTTTAGCCCAGAAACTAGAGGGGTCATGCCTTAAGAGGGGCCGGGGCTATGAACTGCACCGAGTGTTCTTTAAGATGGCTATTTCAGTTCAAAACCTCGTACAAACGTAGAACACTCCCTTTAATAGATATCACAAAGTTGGTAAGCAGTGCGGGGCACTTGCGTGCGTGTGCGACGCACAGCTCTAATTCGCGGTTTTCGAAGGGCACTTAGGGTGAAGAGCGTCCGTTGGCACGCATGGTTTGCTATGACGCGCTAATAGCGATTACTAAGTGAGGGCGACCACACGGCGCTTGTGAATACATGACAGCGTGCAGCGTATTTTTACACTACGAGCGTGTGAGAAAAAAACGCTGCACGCAGAAGATAGTGCCGCGTGTGTGTTTGATAGCGCTGGCCTGGGGCTATTGAATGACACCCAGACTTTGAGGTGGGTCAGCGACGCCAATTTCTTTGACACAATCCCCACATATATGTATATATATATATATATATATATATATATATATATATATATATGTCAGTCATATCACGTGAACCCTGATACCCTACTTCCGAAGGCAGGTGGCTGCCGGCCGCATGCAATTCAAACTTTTGACGGCATACATTTCGTGTTCGTTCGAGTAAGAAGCTGCGCCGGCCGGCAGCCATCTCGAACAGCGTCTCGTCTGGACCTGCCTTCTACAGCACACCACGGAAGCGCAAGGTGCGAGTCTGTCTACCGTCATGATGACCGACCAACCGAGGCGATCAACCAGAGCTGGCCCAGCCCAGACATCCGCGCACGAGGACGATGAGCGCGGCTTCAGCTGCGATCCCGACATGCGCCGCTTCCCACCGCCCTCACGAGACTCGGCGTCAGATTTGGTAGCTTGTTGGGTGCTCTGGGCGCGGGCTTCAATTGCACCTACGTCTTACTAGGTACAGGGTGTGCGCCATTGCATACAGATCGAAGCAGGATTGGACGCCCACGTGTCCCTGGTGTTTTAACAAGCACGTGTGGTTAGTAAAGCTTGTTAAGATGTCCGCCGTTCCCCAGCACTGACCAGGTTCGGTGCGTAAGCTGATCACGGACGTGGTCGAACGCGCAAAGTGACCAACAGGTTCGCTTTCCTTATCAAAAGTTACAACATGTTTTAACGTGTACGCGAAGAGCATTGTTAGGGCCACAAAATTAGGAGTACAGTCAATATTACTTGAAAAACTTGCATCTAGGGGTTTTAAAATCTTATAAACAAGGTACATTTTAGAGTCTTAATATCTAAGAACGATAACTGTTTCGACTTAGAATCAATACATCATGTATGTCATAGCATATATGGTTCAAGCAATGTTATGTCTGGGGACGTAAAAAAACGCGCGTGCTGCTTTGATCGTGGTGAATTTTTGCCAACCAGCTTTCGCAACAAGGAGTTAGATCCAGAATCCGGATCCTTTTCTTTTCATGGGGGTATAATTGATAATCCACCGCACGTCCTCCGAACGGGTAATGCTGAACCGTTTTTTTCAGGAATTTCCAGCATCCGTGAGAGAGGCTAGCCAACTATTAAGGTGAATTTAGGAACTGCCGCTTAGCCGGTTCATGAGTCGAGGACTGCGTCAAATGGATCCCGCGCCTTTTTGGGTCGATGTTTGGAGCGAGCTGCCTTAGCTCGGCTGCTTTCATTCCGTGATTTTGAGGCCGATTGGGCTCCGCCATTCCCACGACCATGAGGCCGGGAACAAGATCGGCCAAGGCACGGATGCTCTTATCGCGACATTTCGGCCGGGAGGGGGCGGGCTCGCCTTTACTTTTCGCACAAAATGCATCATGCAGTAGCGAGACGGGCCCATTCCCGCGTCTCACAATGACGGCGTAGATCTAGGGGGATCATCAGGCAGGTGGCCAGAGAGCTCTTGCTGCATCAGCTCTGTTTGGTCTTCGGGCACGGTTCCGGCCACCTGCCTCGCGGTCCATTTGACGGGAGGTTCTTGGGTCGTGTTGCGGTCCGCGCGGTCGAGGTGGCTACATTTTCGCGCCGAACTGAAGTACTGATGCCTACTGAAGAACTAATGTTGTTCTGGCTACTTGGAAATGATATCTGGCTACGAAATCAATACGCTCCCCTTAATCGTCGGACAAAGCTGAAATGTCATGTTCCCAAGTCGTTGATTGTTTATACACCAATGTTCTTGGAGGTTTTTGTATTGCATCAGAATTCCTCTGGCTGATGATATTTTGAAGGCTAACCAGTTAGGTTACCAGATACAAATGTAAACATGCGGGTGATAGGCGAAGGAGGGGGAGGTGTCGGACGCGGGCGCTGTGGTTGGCCTGCGGTAAGGTGTGTGGTTGTAAGCGTAGCTGGTGAAGGCTGCGGTGGCTGTATAGGAAGGAAACATTGTTTGGACATGTGGTATTCCCTCAAAAGGGTGGGAATTATTCAGTGGCATTGGTAACTCGCCCATGTCTTATCGTGGATCTGTACCTTGAATCTGCCTAATCAGTTATCATGCTATCAGTTTGATGCAGTCAGGAAATTTTGGATGTATTAGTGTTGGTTGTTGGCTCGTGACTTATGCAGGTACCAAAATAATGTTGTGTCATGGTTTTGTAGTGCATGCTCACCCATAACATTTTTTCCAGTGTGTAACCATCCAAATGGGGTTTCTTCCATATATCAGAGCACATATGACTGGTTGCCACTCCAACCTGTTACTGTTTTTATTGCTAAGATGCAGTTTTTCTGCTCTACCCACCAGTAAAAATTGTCACATGGGTATTTTATCCACCATTAATTCTCAACATATGTTAAGAAACTTGAAATGTATCTAAAGCCATACCATTGTTCCCTTAAATAAGTGACAGCATGTTGATTGTTTTGTCAGTGAAGGTTTTGTGATGGGTTCTGGTTATTTTAACTATCCTTAACCACTGGTCCCAACAAACACTGACTTTTCTTTTGTATTTAGTGGATTTAGTGAAAAATACTTACCTACGTCACAAAATTGTGTGTGATGTGTATAATGTGTAATCCATAATGTGTTTCCCCAAATGCAGGTGCATAATGAGTCAAGAAGTGCTTCTGAAGCTTGTGGTGCATCAAAAACTTCCACAGATTCGAGGAGGTAGGCTTCCTTCACAGAAGTCTGAGAGATATGTTTTCTTTCAGTGTATGTAGACATCATTCATATCACAATGTTATTTCATGGTTAACTGATATTTTGTGAGCATTGTCATGGCTGCTCATTTTCTTCAAGGGTGTAGCTGATATTTGTTCCCTACTTGTTTATTGTTCCACTTGATATTTGTTCCCCACTTGTTCCACATGTTTCCTGATTACATCTTCATCTGGAAACTGGTTTTATTGCTGTGGTGAATAAAATGGATTATCATTTCATGGTTTGTTCCCACAGAATCCAAGGAGGAAATTATCCTGCATCCATGCTCAGTGCCGGGCTTGGAGGTGGGCAAGATAGTGGAGATATCCCACCCAGACCTAGACTTTGCTCGTCTCTTGCTGCAGGTTTCATCTGGATCCCTCAGGGATGACCATAAAGGTGAATGAACAAGCCTTAATGATCTGGATGACAAGGATCATGAATGGAGTTATAGTGATACCAGTAATAAAGGTGATCACTTGATAATACATGGTGTAATGTTTGAGCATAGTTTTGCAAGATCAGTTTAGATGAGGTTAGGTGGACACAACAAAGTGGATTTCTCTGTGTATTTCACTTTGTTTCCTTTCAAAATTGATGTGGTTGACATGAAGGATGGGGTTGGGGTATAAGCCACTGCAACTGTGGCAACTGTGGCCAACTGCAACTGCAACAAAATTATACCTCTGTCCATTAACACAATGATGTGTGGATGAATGCAATACAAGATGTAAAAATGGAGATAATAAGAAATGCAGTCATGGTAGGGAAGAGTGGAGATAAAAAAATTTGACCTAATAACCATGCAGCACAATTAGCAACACACAGATGTCAACCCATGTGCCAACAGCCAGAATGGTAGGTGCACAGGTAGGCTCTCATTTAAAGATGCTTTCATGAAGTGAATGCATTTCTAACTGAGGTAATCATTGGTGCTTGTCTGTAGGGGTTTTGACCAGGCTTCACATGCTTGGTCATATGACCTGGTCCAACTCTGTCCCCATCAACTCTGTTTCCATCAGCTTTGCCTCTGATGACTCTGTCCCTGTCAACTCTGTCCCCATTGACCTCATCCCTGACTACTCTGTCACTGTTAACTCTGTCCCCAGTGTGCTCTGTTCCCATTGACTCTGTCCCTTTTGACTCTGTCCCCGCCGATTGCGCCCCCGTCGACTCCGTCCCCATCGATTCTGTCCCCGTCGACTCTGTCTCCTCCTCGAATCTGCCCCCGTCGATTGCGCCCCCATCGATTCTGTCCCCGTCGACTCTGTCCCTGTTGACTCTGTCCCCTCTGTCCCCATCGACTCCGTCCCGCGTCGACTCCGTCCCCGTCGTGCTGCCGCCCGGCCAATAATGGCTGAGTGTGGACGTTTTCAGTGGACGCCGTCAGTGTGGACAGTACGGTGGTGGAGACGTTCCACCTGCGGGACCGGCTGTACGACTCGGTCAGCGTGCGTCTGGTGGACCCGGCCGACGCCGCGCTCGAGTCGGTGGAGCTGCTTCTTCAAGGACCACTACCTTAACCGCAGCGACATGTGGCGCCTCAAGAACAGCCTGGTCAGTGTGTGACGTGCGCAGGTCACCGCGCAGGCCACGTCTGGGCTGATGCAGCTCCGGTTCCGTGTGCGTGTGGCACTTGGTGCAATGGTACAATACGGCGGTGGGGTCGGCGGCCTGCGCCCCAAAGGAAGCGCTCAGTAATTTAAGTAAATTGCGGAGTAAATTGATAAATTACTTAATTGATTAAGTAAATCAAGTTCGCTGTGATCGGCATTGGACGTCAGCGGAGGTGGTGCTGGATCGCCATCAGTCGAAAACGTGCTGCCGTCGAATGGCAGCGGAATGGCAGCGAGCCAATTTGATTCGGAATGGGCTCCAGACGCTGCTTGGAGATTCCAGCTGTCAATAACGGGGCTTATTTAAGGGGAAAATCACGGCGGACGCGATTGGCGAACGGAATCAATGGGTCGAGGCCACCGCTGGGTCGAAACTGCCGCTTCCCCGTTCGCTTTCTTCTTGATTTTGACGTACTGCATTCATTGTTGCGTTTCCAAAGCAAATTGTTCATTCTTGAAATCAGTAGAGCATGTGGTATGTGAGCGTGTATCCATCCGTGTGGTAATTCATTGATTAATCTCCTAGCTTTTAGGCAGATTAATTAAGTACGTCTATGCACTAGACTATATGCTCTTGCAAAAATTTGAATGACGATATTTATTAAAGACGCGTTACGCCAGCCACGGCGCAGGGTGTGCCATGACCAAAAATTACGCAGATGATGCATTAAGAGGCAGCGTTGGCCGCAAGGGCGAAGATCAGCTGACGCAGAACAGCCGCGGGCAGTATTTACGGCGAACAAATAGAGGTTAAGACACATTCACTTCTGCATGTCTGGACAAGACTTCCTCCTTTGACATTTGAGCTTTTCTAAAAATGGATATCTTTGGCAATGTTTTATAATTTTATTAGTAAGTAATGTTGCAAAACAATCCCCCCGGTGATTTCTCCCTGACTTAGGTTGCATTCGCGAGCCGCACTACACAGCATGCAATGAAGGCTACTAAGGCAGTGTAGGATGGAATTCTAATAAGAACACCACCACCAAATTGCCCCATAACAGCAAAAACCAACACAGAACCGGAGCAGGGCTTCGATACGAACGTCGCCACGAATCACGCCGCAGACCGGAGGTATCAAGAGCGTGTGACGCTGGAGCCGAATAGCCACACGCGGATGTAACCACGGATGAGGCACACGCACGCCCGCTGGCTGCCAGCACGCCTCCAGCGAGCAGGTACCAAACTGGACTGCCGCTGCCGACAGGTGGGCAAGGTGATGTACCACAAGAAGAACGTGGAGTTCTGCTCGCAGACGGTGCGCTGCCAGGTTTTCGAGATGTGGTCGCAGGGAGACCGCGTAGCCTGCGGTCTGGTCACGCCAGACACAAAGGTCAGTTGGCCGGGCCGACCGCGGCCCCAGCAGGGCTGGTGACCGGGTCATCGGCGTGCATACGGGACACGGGATACGTGTGGGGTGCGTACGGGGCCGGACCCTGTACCCTGAAGCGCCGCTTGAGCGTGAGCTGTTGTTGGCCAGCGTGGGGTACCAACACGGTGGCCTGTCATAACTGCACGGTATGGAAGGTCGTTTCGGACAGTGCTGACGCTGAGCTTAGCGCCCCCTCGTCCCGGGAAGTTAGGTGCGGTGATGGCGTCCCTCGTCCCTTGGAGTGAGGTCGGTGATGGTGCCCCACGTCCCCGGAAGTGAGGTGCGGGGATGGGTGCTGCCATCACAGGATCGGTGATGTTTCTTCTGTTGTGGAAGACGCCTTAGCGCCTTACCTCTGCTGCGGCCGTTAGTTATCGCCGTTCCAGCAAACGCGCCCGGCCACCGTGTCGGCCAGCCGTGTCACTCTATCGTGGCTGCGTTCTTTCTTCGGCAGGTGGTGTTCCGGTCAGCCACCAGCATGTTCCACCTCTACATCCAGATGTCAGAGGAAATGTGGGACTTTGACGTTTACGGAGACCTGTACTTCGAGAAGGCCGTCAACGGCTTCCTCAGCGACCTATTCAACAATTGGAAGGTGCGGGGGCCTTGCGGAGACGCTCGCTTACGTTATGCAGCGTTACGTTTGTTACGTTAAGCAGCCCTTGCTGCTTGGTGTCTGAGAGTCACCGCGCCCGCGATGACCAGCACGTGAGGTGACCATCACGCCTTCACAGACCTCGCGAGGCGCCAATCGCAGGGCGAACGTCATGTAGGACAGTCAGCAACGGCAAAATGACATTCACGTTCTTACGAAGTCACGGCATGAACCATGAAGCGCAATCGCTCTCTTAAAATGGCACGGCAACAACCACGAGGTGAACATAGCGCTCTTACAGAGGCACGGGACCAGCCACGAGGTGACCATTACGCTCTTACAGAGGCACGGGGACAACCACAAGGTGACCATCACGCTCTTACAGAGGCACGGGACCAACCACGAGGTGACCATCACGCTGTTCTCCCGGCTCTTCTACAAGGCCAACTCGCTCAGCGAGTTTCCGGAGTACATGCGTCACGATGTGCAGAAGGATTTCCGCAACATGTTCTACGAAGACTTCTACAGGTCGGTTAGATGCCCCGGACCGCACCATCCAGCTGCGTGTGGCGTGATCACGAGACCGTTGTGTTCGGGAAGAGTATGGCGACCATACGAATTTAACGGAATTAACAGCAATGACATCAGTGTTGAGCAGGATTAGAGGCGCCATGATCATTTCGAGATCACCCCTCCCATGCATGCTGTTTAGAAGTTGTCCTGCTTATTTATACTATATAAACATAGATTGCTGCTCGAACTTCTATATTCCTAAGTGTATTTTTCTCATATGATGCTATATATATATATATATATATATATATATATATATATATATATATATATATATAGATGTATAATTTGACATATTTTTATATATTATTTTTATATATTTTATACATACATTGATATTTATATATTTGAAAGATGTGTTTGAGGCTGTTACAATGCTGTGTTGTGCTTTAGCTGAGTGTCCGCCGCACGGTCTTCAACCAACCAGGATCGTGCTGGAGCGTGGCAAAATGCGTCCTGTTCGTTGTCAGGAATACTCACATCAACTCATGCCACAAGACCTCTGTCTCCTGCCGCCTCCATCTCGGCCATGCTTGACTTCCCGTTGACCCGTTGCCCTTTGACCCCGGATCCTCACACCCCGACCTGCTTGGCCGATTTGCCTTTGCCCGAGGCGTACATGTGCTGGGCCGACAGCCACGCGGCTCTACGCTGGTCAGTCGACACTGAGTGAGGAGTTGTGCCACAGATAATGGACCCTAAGGCACTTGAGCAATATCATGAACAAGACCTGCATTCTTGGCACCCGAATGGCTGAACTTTACCACTCCACCGTGCTGTGCTGTGACTAAGTGGCCGCACGGCCTCCACCCACCGGGGCGGGGTACTGGGGGCGTAGTCATGGCCGAGTGGTTAACGTGTCGGACTCCCACTTAGGGCCCGGGTTCGAATCTGGGTTGTGCCATGGTCCCTGAGCGTAATGGAGTCGCTGGCGCTCCATGCAAGAAGCGCGACGACGTGCGTCACGGTCAATTAAAAAAGTGGTTAGCGCTGTGTTATGACCAAGTGTCCGCGCGGCCTCGATCTCGCCAGGGTGGCCGTGCAGAACGAGCGGTACGAGGACTGGACGCCCGTGCTCCTCCACCATCCGGCACCCTGTTCATGGGCTACCGGGAAGGCCTGCTCAACTTCCAGCGGGAGCGGGCGCCCCCTGGCGCGCCGCCGCCGCCGCGCGCCTCGCTCAGCTCGGCCGCCCAGGGCAACTTCCTCGAGGTGCTCAACATCTCCATGAATGGTGCGTCCCCCCCCCCCCCCTCCGACCACGCGGTGGGTCCAAATGCTAGAAAGCGGTCACTTACTTCAGTGTGTTTTAGTGTGTTTCAGGGAATGGGATACACAGTTTATTGCCGTTGTTTTAGTTGGGAATAACGTAAATGTTTGTGGTGGCCGGCCCAGGTCTGTATGCTGCCGATGTGATGCCTTTCCCGTCATTGTCATGCGTTTGCTCGCGTCCGCCCTGCCTCGAGGAACGATCGCGTCACTTTGAACGGCGTGATTCCTCTATGTTGTTCCGTGACGTGCGTGGTTGCTGCTGTCTTTTTCGCTGTAAATACGACTTAAGGTTTATACCCGCTGGTAGACACGGAAATACTTGATTCTGAGAGAAACATAGCATCTGCAGTCGGCATGTCTAAAACACCAACAGCCAATGAAGGCCAACATTCATGCTGACACACTGATCTCAAACATAGAATGGCTCGTCCGCATTTATGTGTTCGCTTAGTTTGCCTTTACAGAGCTACTGGCTTGACCAGCGACTGTAAGCGCCAGAGTTTTAACGCCGCCTCCTTGACTAGCGACAATGTGCGGCATGGTTTGAGAGCCACTGCTCGACTAGCGACTGTGTCTGAGTGTTTGAGAGCCACCAGCTTGACTAGCGGCTGTGCGCGGCAGTGTTCGAGATGCACTACCTGCACCGGGCTCTGGAGCGCACCGGCCAGATGTGCGTGGTGGTGTCGCCCGGCGTTGGCGTGTACCAAGGTTGGGAGCGGGAGCTCAACAATCTGACCAAGCAGCGCATCATCGACTACGGCGTCGGCATCGACCTGGTGTGCGTCGGCGAGCAGCCGCTGCACGCCGTGCCTCTGGCTCAAGGTGCGTGCGCGCGCGACCGGCGCTCTTCGGCGCCGCCCACCTCCCTGTTGTGGACCGCCGCCGCCAGAGAGCGAGGAATAAGCCCGGCTGGGCGGGGCTCCACGCCAATCCACGCGGGTGGGGGGTACTGGCGGCTGTGCCTAAGTTCTAAGTAAGGTTGGTGTCTCCCTCGGCTTCGTCCGCAGCGTCTTGTATTCGATATTTCTTGTTAAGAGTGTCGTTGGCCGCTCGTTCGTCGATCGCTGGCGTCGGTTGCGGTTTGGACCGTCCCGGGATCCTTGAATGAGTCATAACCGGTACATTCGCCAGCACCGTGCAGCTGATTTGGAGATCCTGTAGTGAGCTGTAACCGGTGCGCTCGCCAATGCCGTGCAGTTGGTGTCACGTCTTCAGCTGTTCTGGCTGCTAAAACCTGACACCGAATCGTGAAAGCGCCCCAAGAACGGGCGGGTCCGTGGATCGCACGCCGGAGTGTGGGATCGCCTGCACAGATGAACCCACACTTCTGCCAGCACCAATGTCCTTGTCTTCCTTGGCCAATTTATCTCACGTTGCTGTGACGTCTGGTCGGCGGGATCTGTGCACAGTTCGTGTTTTGTGTTCTTTGGTTGCCTTACTGTGACTGGAAGTTATATTTTTCTTGCTAGTTGGGTGGCGGGGAGTTGTGGTGATATTGCAGTGCTGCTGAAGCCGACCTGATCAAGAAGCTTAATGCAAATATTGAACAATTGATACAGCGCGGTGTGTAAACAATCGCGCCTCTTGTGAACTATTGGATGAGCCTGCGATCGATGATTGCAATATCCTACGCAAACAGTCCTGAATAAAGGCCTTAGAGAAATGCAAGAATCCGTTAACGAATTCTGCCAAGCCCATTTGCTTTTTTGGCCCAGGTTATGGTAAAGCGGTCGCTTGCTACTGTTTTGCCAACGTTTCACGCGGAGGTTAGAGCTATTTCTGCAGTGTGTGGCGTTTTTTTGGGAAGCTGACCAAATGATCCTGGCCGCGAACGCCGGTCACTGCCTGTTCACCGCCGCACCCTGCTGCCTCAGTTCCACAACAAGAGCCTGACGGAGACGCAGGACTACTACCTGCCACACACCTGGATCAACCTCAGCTTCTACTCGTCCAACAAGCGGGTGGGCTACTCGGAGTTCGTGCCGCGCATCAAGGTGCCGCCGAGCGCGCCCAAGGCGCCCGTGGCGCGCGTGCAGTCGGTGCTGCCGCGCGGTCGCCCGCCGCCCAGCGAGCACGCCATCCCCAGCTCCGTGTACGACTACGACGCCCACGACGCCGACGTCTTCCGCATGCCCGCCAACGCCACCTACAAACAGTGAGTTGGTGAAGCGCGGCGGGAGTTGGGCAGCGAGATGAGATGTGTTATGTCATGAAGTCTGGATTGTGCCGTAAGCGGACAGAATATGGCTGTATAGAGATAAGGCGCTGGCTTCAAATCAAAATGACATCCGTCTGTGTCGATGGGTTGTGAAGCTCGAAGCCTGTCAAAGGCATTTGACAGAGTCGCACTGTGCCTGTCATTAAAATACAAGGCCGTTTTGGATTTCACAAACCGTAGCGATCTGTTTCGCAGATCCCTGGCAAGCTTAGCCCGTACAAACTAAAGCAGCGCGGTTCTGCCGGATGCCAGGGATTTTCTTACAGGGGGGGGGGGGGGGAGGGGGACCGGAGCTCACGAGAACGTATTGCGCCGATCGCAAACGTTCTGTCATGCGCCATTTATGGCATAGAATGCAAAATGCGGGTCTAGGGAATGAGTGTCCGGGCCCGCCTCCCTCCTTGGCTGCACATGCAGAGTTCGTCAGTCGGCCATCAATCGGTTGTCAGTCGGTGTCAGTTAGTCGGTGTCGGTGATGGCTGCCATGTTGAGCTGACAGCCAGCGGACGGTGCTGCCGACCCGTCGGCGCGCCGCTGAACCGCGTCCGACGCGTCCCCCCCCCCCCTCACCAGGGCGACGATGACCCTGCAGCGCGTGCCGCCGCGCAAGCGCACCGTCACCACCTCGCACGTGAAGCCGCCGCGCCCGCCGACCGACTCGGCCGTCTCGTCGCCGATCGCCGAGCAGGTGTACAGCTCGTCAGCCACCGGGTTTGTCACACCAGGTGGGTGGGCGGCGCCCGCTGGCGGCGCCGCGCCGCGCTCGCCGCACGCCGGGCCCGCTGCCGCGCCGGCTCCAAACGGAGCCGGCGCGGCGCGCGCGAAGGACGGGCGGTGCGGGCGCTGTGTGTTGTGTAACTGCTTGTCGGCGGCATGCGCTGGGCTGTTGCTTGGCAACAGATGCGATGCTCAAACGTTCGATGCACTCGCAAGCTGAGGACTGAAGCAACCACTTACAAATGTAGCTGCCTACGAATGCCGTCACGTCAGGGTAGTGAACACGTCCCGTGGCGACGCCGCTAAAGGTGTAGTGATCTGTTGAGCAGGGTCTGCCCAGCGGTGCAGCCGAGCTACGACACTTTACGGAAGTAATTTATAGTAACTGCATCTTTACCCTGAACGTGTGTAGGCGACGCGTGATAAAAGTAGGTACCTTTGACGTAAATAAAGTAGCGATCCTTGTTGTTCATGGGTTCTGTGTTACGGAACTATTGCGTTTTTCGGAAAACACGGAACTTAAATGTAAATAGAAAATAAACCTCTACCACCATTCCAAGTGGTGTACAAGGTCATGGCGCTCAGGCGCTGACCGCGACCCAATCTTGACCCTGTCGCCGTGCGCAAGCGCAGCTGATATGCCTGCCGCCGGCGCCCGCCAGCCCGGCTGCTGCTCTGTGGCATCCGCTGCCCGGGGGTGCATTCGTGCCGCCCGCCGCCGCAGACTGACCGGCCGGCTGGGCCGGCGCGTGTGACTGACTAACCGACTGGGAGGCCGCACGTCAGGCAGCCCTGCTGCCTCTGACGGGTTGAGGGCTCGCGCGTCGCGTGTGATGGCTAACGGACTCAAACATGGCATGTTGTAGGCTAGCGACCGTTAGAGGGAGTGTGCCACCTGTTTTGTCCTGTTCACTGGGAGGTAGATGACGAGACTCGTCCTCGTCCGGGTTGGTCGGTGACACTAGGTTTCACAAAGTCCTCCGGGATAGCTCAGAATTTTTAATTGAGTTGGCCGCCCCACGCAAGAAATGTCGTTATGCTGTGTGACCATCACGTTGAAAGTAATACTCCTGATTTTATTCGCTTTTCCAACATGTTTTCTATGAAATATTCGTAATACGCAACTGAAGATGCACAAAGCCTTGAACTCTCTACAGGGTAAAGACATACAAGTATGGGGTCATAATCATGTTAACTCATTGAAACGTCATACCATGGCTTTGAATTCTCTCTCACATGGCACGGTGAGTCTTTTCAAAGGGTTTTTCGACTTTAGGAAACATTTTTTTACATGGATGCTCAGTTCGTTGCAAGACCGTGTTAACAACGCAGGTTGCTAACCAGCTAACCAGAAACATCACCTGGACTAGTGATTTGCTTGTTCAAAGTTCCACGAATGCACTTCTTGCTAAATGGCTTGTGTCACACGCTGTACCAATCATGAACATTCATTTCGTCTGACGTCATTCGTATCTGTCAATGGCGGAACACATTTTGACCACCACACTTAGAGTGTAGCAAGGGGCTGGTTGTTGGTGTTGCGGGGTAGCTTTCTCCCTGTTTCGTGCTCATTTCACGGAAATTTGAACGGCTGAATATCCCGCTAGAACGGATTGTGTGCGCTTAGGTTGCTTACTCCAAAAGCGAAACCTGGGGCTATAGGTACACATTTTGTCGTACTGCGTCGATCTGGGACCGCGTAATTTTCAATAGAAAATGAAATGAAATTAAATGGATTTGCTTCAAGTATATTACTGATGTAGTGTTATGATTAGACATAACTGACCCGAAGATATCACCAGAGTCTGCTTTTGATTCACGTCCCGGAGGTGGCACACTCCCTTTAGGGCTGGTACTTGGCGGTGGCAAGCTAACCGACCCCGCCGCCGCATGCGATCGGCCCGGCACGGCTGGTGATTGGCTGAGCGGGCGCGCGCCGGCAGTGACGCGGCGCCGCCATTGGTCTGTTTTAGCGCGCGCCTCGCCACTCGTGCAGAGCCCAGTGTCGCCGCCTGGTGAGCTATACTCGTCGTCGTTCGGGTCCGTGTTCGGCAGTGACCGGTCCGGTGAGTGATAGACGCGGCATGGCCTGCGCTGACCTGGCTGTGGTGGCAACCATCCATGCGCCCTATAACGGGCTGATGGGCTGCTCACACGGCTGGGAGACCGTTAACCAGGATGTGAAATGGCGCTTGCGCTGTGGTTGGATTGAAGCTGGACTGCGGCATGGGGGTCCCCCTCCCCCGGTCTGGTGTGTGGTGACCGTTGCTCGGGAGCAGTGGTGCTAGGAAATAGCAACTGGAGTGGGTGAAGCCGTGAAGGTGATCTACGTCCTTGCGTGTGCCGAACTAATGCTGATTAATAACGTGGATAGGTGCAACATGTGGCCCTGTTGTCGACAGACGCCGACTGACACATCCCCACGTCTTGCATTTTTGCGTTCCAATATTTTTCAGTGTGACATATCCCTGAATATTGCATTCTGCACGTCCCTGCCCTGAATGCTGTCTTGGAACAAGACATCAATCAAGAACAAATTTTTATGGCGTTGCTGTGTACTTCTAGCACATAAGGGCTTTCTTCACTCACGTCCCCAGGCTGTCGTGTGCCTTTGCCCACTTAATATAGCCGATGTGCATCTCGCCAGACCATACCAGACCACCATATGTGCGCCTCGCCAAACCATACCAGACCATCCAGACCATACCAGTCCATACCAGTCCATACCCAGTCATTGTGAAACCAGTCCACTAAACAACACCAAAGCATGGTGTGGCCCTGATCCGTGCTGCGCTGTGCGCTCCGCCGCCTCCTCCCACGTGGCCTTCGTGGCGCCGGGGCGCGTGGCAAGTATGGGTCGACCCTCTGCCTCAACTCCGATGTGGAGTCAATCCATCACCAGCTGACCGAGAGACCACGCCCGGGGCCGCCGGACCTGGCGGCGCGCTAACGGGCGCGGCGCGGCGCGGCGCCTCCGGCAGACGGCGGCACGCTGCGGCGCGTCTCGTTCGACGACAGCGACGTGACCCGCTCGCCGCCGCGGCCGGCCGCCTCGGCCGTGTCCGCCTGCGACCTGAGCCTCAGCCGCGTGGCCGTGCCGCACGGGCCCGGCCGCGCCCTCTTCAACCCGTTCGACCCCAGCAACATCGTGGTCAAGCACACCTCCAGCCGGCGCCGCTGGACGCATATCTTCCCCAAAGGTGGGCGGGCGCCGCCACCGGCGACGCGCGGGTCGGGCCGCGCGGCAGGGAGGCGAGCGGACCGACGGTGTATGGCGGCGCCGCCGCCTCCCCCACGGCCGTGGCGGGCGCTCGTATGACAGGGCGTGCGTGCCGTGGAATAGACGCCTGTTTCGTGGCCTGTTACACGAATGCGCTCCGCCTGGGTAGTTGTGTGTGTGGAGGTTGGGCGGGGCTGGTTCGCTCCGAACGCGTCGACATGGCACGGCTGCGACGTAATCCGTAATGACGCGGGCGGCTGCGATGAGAAGAGACCCAGCCGCCCGCAGGCGACAACGCTCCACCGCCGGCTCTGCGGCTGTTGCGAGTCTCTGAGCCTCTGAGCCGCTCGCCCGATTTCCATAAAGTCATCACCGCTCAACGCGCAGCGTATGCATTTAGGATTCGTGGGTAGTCTAGTGGTCCCGGGTCGCCAAAGTGATCTTGCCTTTGGTGCGCGTCCGTCGGTGACTCTGCGGTATTCTCCTTCTTCAACTGCCGTCTTAATGTGAAAGCCGAAAAGTGTACAGGCGTTACGCCATCCCGCTGTTTATTGCTGAGGCTAGCGGTACGAAATCAAACAAAATTCAATAACATCACGATGGGTTTGTACGTCTTCAAGGATCATAAATGAAACGATTATATATTTTCTGTTTTTCGATGATATTTTTATTTTCCTCTAAGGAGGATGATCGCTCCAGTGTCTGAGCGGCGTTCAGATGGGAGTAGCCGCTGTGGATGACCTGCTGTGGGAGCAGTGCCCCGCCATCCAGGTGGGATGAACTGTAGACTGGTAGGGCCCGAGCTGGGAGCCAAGCAGCACCCGGGATTGCCGAGGCCGCACACGCGACAGTTACGCGGCCGCGCTGTAAATGTTCCCCAGAACGTCGGGAGAGATACGATGCCCCGGATGGGGCAAGCCGCCGCGGTGGTGTGTCTCGAGCGCTGCGTGTCTGGCGCGCGGGAGGTGAGGCTCGTGCCCTCATCGCCGCACCATCGGACCGGCCGTTGGCGACGAGCCTCCCTGGGCGCGCCAGCCGAGTGTCAGCAGTGGTAGCCGGAGCGCCAGCTGCGCAGGCGTGCGCACGGTTCGGCGGCGGGTCATGTCTCGTGCTGTTCCAGGTCCGAAGGGAGTGCTGTTCCAGCAGCACCACTACGCCAACGCCATGGGTCTGGACCTCAGCGCCAAAGGTAGGCCGTCCTAGGCCGCCACTGGGCGCGCGCTGCCGGTGTCCTCCAGGGATGTGGTGATGTCATGACGGTATGCTCATTCCCACTGGTAACGATTGGTAGGACTTAAACGTTATCATGCAGTGATATGGAGTACGTCAAGTTCCGATTTCGATTCCTAGCCCGGCCAAGTACTGTTTGCCGCGTGGGCACTTTTCCCGCATTTTCCGCATCCCCATGTGCCTGGCATCCAGCCGTCCGACCCAGCAGCGGACTCGGGCTGCACGGGGCACCCGGATCTGAACCCACGCTGTGTGAGTGATTTAGCGATAGTGTGATTCACCGAGATGATCTCTTGACCGATGTGTGATGTCTTAGGCTATTTTACTAGTTTTCGCATTGTCTCTTTTATGCCCGTTTATATCAATGACGACGTGTAACTTTGAAAAAGCCACTGGATCTTGTGGAAAGTTACGAAATATATGAACATGAACATGAACAGTGGCGGCCGGACCGCGGCACACCTGCGGCGCCAGCGCCCCCCCCCCCCCCAGACTCACGGACGGAGGGGAGGACGGCCGCTGACCGGCCGGCGCGCTGACGCTCCGCCTGTCCCGCAGATGCGCCGCCCTCGTCCAGCGAGCCGACGGCCGGCAGTCCGTCACTGGCCTTCTTGTGGGGCGCCTCCAGCACCGGCGAGCAGGAGTGGTCGGCGCATATCACCACAGGTCAGTCCCGGCCGCCGCCGGAAAGCAGCGTCTGTGCATACGCGCGCGCGTGCGCGCCGCCGGCGGCTCGCTCTCGCCTGTGTCCAGGGGGGGGGGGGGGGGGCGCGGCGCGGCGCCCCGGTGGGATGACTTCACCCGTTCACCCGCTCTGTCTCCCCACGGAAGAAAAACGACCGTCGCACCTGGCATCTGGAAACCCATCCCAAACGCAACTCGCTACGATGCAAACATTGAGGAATTCGGTCACGGAAATATCACCACGGGAAGCGCTGTTCAAGGGGTAATGAGCAGCTTTCGGCTCCACGTCAAAAGAAACATATTTGTGAGTCAGTCGATGTACAGTCCTAGGTGACTCGATTTGACCAAGGGTAGCCAGCAGCCGTTTCTCTTCTGCTGGGGCGGCAGCGCTGGCGGCCGGGAGTGCAGAGGCGTCCCCGGCGTGCCTGGCCTGGTTCGCTCGGCACTGCCAGCGACGGCCGAGCTGGAGCCGGAACAGTCTCGGCCGGCGTCGGTCGGTGCTGGGGATGAGCCCAAGGCGCTTACCTGGTGCTTAAAGAGACTGGGAGTGGGTAATGAGGCTGATATGTCCTGTTTGCTGCCGTCGGCTCGTGAAAATACAGTTGCATTTGGGCGGGAGTAGCTTCATTTCACAACGTAGAGTCCGATATTATTTTGATGTTGAGTTTCTCATTGCCACGCGCATCAAGACCGTGGGTGTCAGTCGGGGAATGTTGAGTGCTGCAGTGCCTTTATTACGCGTGAACGCGTATGATAGTGTCAATTCAACGTGCGTTGTGCTTTCATTTTCCCGAATCACTGCCAGCGTTGTTGGTGTCCTGAGCGCGCAGCGTGTCTGATGCTCCGATCTAACAGGGTTCTGTCTTTTTAGCGTACATCGTCGGAGTTTTAGTAGGTAAAGAAAACTCCCGAGGCGACTGTATTTGTTGCATCTCGCGTTAGCCAGTTGTGCTTGCTTGGCCCGCTTGATAGTGCCCCTGCCTTGGCACTGTGGCGTCGTTAGTGCTCGGTGCTCACGCGTACTAAGCGCGCCCCGAGGGCATGCCGTGTGACGTCACGCCCGGCGCGCGGCTGCGGTCGCTGCACGCTGGCTTATGGCGGTCAGCGGCGTGCTCGCCGTAGCAAACGCTGACGGCCAGCTACCTGTGACGTCACAGGTAGGTGCGGCTCACGCATGATTAATAACTCCGTACCCCCGTCCCCTGTGAGGACGGGGGGGGGACAGGTGGATCAGGACCTTTCCGGGGTGGTGGTGGGGGGGGGGGGGGGGGGGGGGGGTTGTATGCTCCGATGACCCTGTGAGCGGCTGGGGAGGCGTTTAAAGCGTCCACTCCGACCAAAGGGAGGAGCCAGACTAAACGTGCCTCCCGCAAGGGCCCTGACCACGATCAGGGCAGGGCTCAGCAGCCCCTCGGCCCCAGCTTTGAGTAATGCCGTGCCGTGTCCCGTTGTGTCCTACGGGAGTGGTGAAGGGGTCCTGGGTGTCAGCCGGCCGCCGTGCGGGTCGGCCTGGGCGTTCACCAACATTCACCGTTGGCCTCAGTTTTCGACCTGTGGGTGCCCCGTGCTGGCTAGCTGTGGGAGTGTGCCCGGGCGCACACGGAGAAGGTGTATGAACAGCTCTTAGTGAGTCAGGGCACGGGCTGCCGCGGACTCCTGCCCGACGGCTCCGCGGCGCACCTCTGGCGCTCCCACCAGCGCATTGCGCGTCCGCAGCCCCGCCGGCACAGTAGTCGCCCGCCGTCCCGTCCCCTTGTTGACCTCGGTTGTGGGTTGGGGAACGTCGTGCTCGAAGACAGACCAGCTTCTACCTAGCCACGGCTGACTCACAATCAAATCACACCACCACGACGCTGCTACCCAGCGAAGGGCAGGTTGAAACGGCCCCGCCCGCTGAACTTAGAGGTGCACCTGACTCCTCTGGAAGGTGTCCGCCACCCGGACAACTATCCCACGTCAGATTACAAAAGATGAGGAAATCAGGAGGATGCTGAGCGTTAAAGTACACAGCGTTTGAGTTGGCGGAGCGGGTATGCGGTCCGTGCCCATACAGGTTAAACCGTGCCCACTTCAAAATTCTGTGCAGGAAGTCATTAGCTGCCGGACCTGCGGTGGGATGGGCGGGGGGGGGGGGGAGAATCAGCGTGAATGAAATCTTTGAAGGAGTGACGAACGCCAAACACACCATGAGAAGGGTTGGTGACGATTTGTTGCCCACGGGCTCCATTTCCCTGGCTTTCAATGGTTCTTCGCTGCCAGAGAGGGTAGCAACCGGCTTAACTTCCTTTCCGTCAGTTTCTTCGCTCCCGATCCTGTACGGCGCTCTAAAGCCATTCGTTTAGGTGCTTACCGCTCGTGGCTGACGTCTGCGGCACACCCCGTGGGGACGAGCCGGTGTGGTGATGCGCGATTGGGTGATGAGTGAGGGAAATATGTCGGATGTAAGAACAAACGAACGGCAGAAAGATAGCCGGAATATGCATCAGACGGATGCACGCCGATATTTCTGTGTCAAACTCTGGAACGACTTTGGGTTTCGCGCAATTCCTGAAAGCAGAGCATCATGGTGCCGGAATTATCGTTCGTTTTTAGACAACCAGCCTCATTTATACCGAGGGCAGGCCCTGCGTGCCCCAGCGCCCACACTGCTGGGCAGACTGTCCAGCTGTCCAGCTGCTGAGCCGTGCGTCGAGCCTCGTCACCTGCGAACGACACGGGACCGGATGGCGTCAATGGCGCCGGCGCCCCCCCCCCCCCCCGCTCCCCACTAGCGCACTGCGCCGCCGCCACGTCCGCCACAGCAACACCTAGCCTCAGCCGCCTCTGGCGGCGCCGCGCGCCTGCGCGACAACGTGTGGGCATCGGGCGCGGGCCTCATCTCTGTGCGGGCCAGACCCTGGGGCGCACTAACAGCTATGGATGTGTAGCCGTGCTGTGTGCGGGGTGCGTCTGTGTCGTCGTGAGGCCGCTGGTATGCCCCCGTCCCCGTCCCGACCCTCGCCTTCGCTCTGCTTTAGGAGTTCGTGTGCTGCCCCGCGCGCGCCGCCCGAAGACGCCCGGGGTGTGGTGCGGCCTGTGTGCGGTTTAGTGGGAGCGGCCGGAATGAGCAGCGAACATGAAACACATCACCAGAAAACCGAGCACTCGGTGATTCAAAGTATACGTGCCGTTCGAAAATTTGTCGATGATAGATTTGTGACGTGATTTTTGATTAGTTCTAACGTGTATGGTTATCCATTGTCTGTTGAAGATACCTGGTAGTTTTGTCTTCATGTTTAATGTGTTAAGGAGCTGAGGTCCCAAGCAACATCATCTATTTAAAAGCAGTGTGACCCAGTAACAAACATATGGAGATGAGTTCACCATAACTGTCGCGGATCTCCGCGCCAGAAGCCTCAAATTGAGGTCCCTAACGCCGATGCATTCGGCCTTAACGACCTGCATGTACAGAATCCACCATTCTCTCCTACGCCAAGAACCACAAATTTGTTCCAGAAATGCCCCTCGGCAACGGTTAAACGTTACAAAGCAGGAATCCTGACCAGGCGATACAAGTACACTCCACGGTAGTTGCAAAGTGTGTATTTTTCCTCGAATGTTATCCTCGGAGGCGTACATTTTACCGATTATATCTGTATGCGGGGCTCCACGGCACATGCATTTCTCAGAGATATTAGCACACTCTACCAGAGGAAGGTGACTGTTCGCGCCGCTCCAGTCACGTGTGACTGAAAAGTGTGACCAGGCGGCGAATAGGCCGCAAAACACCAAGGGGTTACCACTGGCTTAAACGCCGTCAGATTTGAGATGCCCTGGCTACAGGCTACACTCGTCAAACTGCGATGAAGCAGAGGAAAAATGTGTTTGTTTCACAGAACGTGGGTTTGTAAACTCTTGTGGTGTGTCACGTACTTTAATGATGCAAAAAGGGAAGACAGGCCTCTTTATCCATACACGATAATTCAGAAGTTCCTTGGGGAAAAAGCTTTTCATACAAGGAGCGTATGATAGGCCGGTAGCAAAGAGGAACCACTATGCATAGACAGGCCGCGATGTCAGCTGTTAAATGACGCGAAGCCTGCCAATTGGAAGTGCAGCACCATTGCAGCGGCAAGAGGTAGTAAATGGAGCACATTCGAAATGGGTACAAAAACGTGACGTGAGTAAAAGCGTCCCACAGTTTTTTCCCCAATTGATATGCATATGTCGAATTACGGAGTGCTGATGGCGAGTTTCGTGTTGGTTGTGTGGCCCGGGCCGTTCCCAACCACCGTCTGGTGGCGCTGGGGGGTCTGTGCCGTCTTCGGACCGCTCGGTCCCGGTCGCCCCCCCCCCCCCCCCGGCTGACCTGCGGCTAAACTGTGGCTAACGGTACCCTCCACGTGTGCCCTGTAGGGTTTGATTACTGCGCTTGTGTTTTGGAAACGATTGCGCATTAGCACTTTCTGTTTTATGTTGTGTGTGACGTGGCGTGATATACCACGCGCCATGCTTTTATCCCATTTTCGTTGTCCTGTGGTGGCTCGATTTTGGGGGCATTTGCTCGCACGCGGTTTTCCAGTTTTACCCATGTGTGGACCGATGCATACAGTGCCCTTAGATGTTAGCCTCGTTGATAGCCTCGAATGAGGCCGGGGTTAAATACAGTGTATTGCCAGAGGCAGTCGTCACTAATTGCGAATGCTTAATGTGATCCTGCGTGCTTATGTCACAGGGCCTAACGGGAATGTGTCCGTATACCGCTTGGGTTGTGTTTCGTGCGGCCCGTCTCTACAGCGGGCATATCATGCTGGCTGCTTGGAACACCACGTTGCCCAAATGTTCTTCTGTTGGGTTTGGAGCATCTAAGCCAGTACGATGTGACGTACTTTAGCGAAGCCTCGCATCAATTGCGACCCCTAAACAATATAAAATGCGCACAATTTACAATGGACTCGTCAAGAAATTGCTGGCTTGTTAGCTGGGCTAGGGGCTGCCAGCGATTCCCCTGTTCGGCGCCCCGCGTTCTGCGAAACCATCGAACACTAGCGGGCCTTTTATATGCCTTTCGTTTACTGTTTGCTGTACTGGGCAAATTAGAAGGGTGCACATATTAAAAGGCAGCGAGCTATTCCTTCACAGAGCCTGCGATGGAAAAGTTGCGTTTTCGTCGTCAAAACCCCGCCCGGAAAATGGCAATCACTCAGTGACGAGTTGGTCGGTAACTGAGGGACGGCATTCCGGTTGAGCAAAGCTGGATTGTCACCGTGGGGGACGCCTCGGCCGTTCCTCCCGCTATGGTCCAGCTTCCGTTAGCCAACACCCGCCGCCCCGGCACGTCCCGCTGGGGTGGCGGCGCGCGGGAAGGGTCCCGTCGCCGCCTCCGGCCGCCGCCCTGACTCAGACGCCGCCGTGCGCGCGCGGACAGGCGTCGACTGGAAGTCGCTGACGACGCCGGCGTGCCTGCCCATCACCACCGACTACTTCCCGGACGAGCGCAGCCTGCAGAAGGACTACCTGCTCACCGAGTACAGCATCCTGCCGGACGACATCAACAGCCCGGAGGACGCCGGCGCCGCGCACCGCCAGCTCAGCACGCGCGAGGTCTTCACCGAGATGGTGTCGCAGCGGCTGTGCCAGGTCAGTGAGCGGGGTGTACGCGAGAGGTCTTCACAGAGATGGTGTCGCAGCGGCTGTGTCAGGTCAGTGGGGCGGGGTGCACGCGAGAGGTCTTCACAGAGATGGTGCCGCAGCGGCTGTGTGTCGCAGGTCAGTCCGGCGCGGTGCACGTGGGAGGCCTTTACAGACATGTGCTGTGTTCGCGAGACTAGATTTCGACAAGGCGAACGCATCGAAGGTAATATGTGCTGATGGCGTGAAGGAATCACGGAAAAATGGTGAAACTCCTTGCGATGTCGGGAGTGCTTATGCGCCTCCTGATATCAATGTTATTTTATATTTTTTATTGACGATTGAACGAAAACGAGCTGTTTGTACGGCCTTCTGTCCATGCGAACAGCTTGTTCGTAAAACGACAGCTTGGCGTAAAAGGTTACGTCGGACTCCTCCAGCAAACACGAGGCATGAAATACAGAGGTACGCGTGGAATGATAACCAAAAAACCGGACGGGGTGGGAAAACTGTGAGACCACTGCGCCGTCTCGCGTTGTCGCCTCAGCCGTCCATCACCGGAAGGGCGATCATTACGACGGCCGCGGCGGCAGCGGCGCGTCGCTTTACACGCAGCTGGCGGGTGGCGAGGCGTCGCTGTGCGGCCGGGCGGCGCGGGCCGGCGGCGGCGCGTGGTCGGCTGTACCGCTAGCGACGCGGCCGCGGAGCGCCGCCCGGCCGGCGTGGGTGGCACTCGTGCTTCGGCAGCGGCTACACGCGGACGACGCGACGAGCGTGCTCCGTCACAGCCGGTCCGGTCGGGCCGTCAACCCGCTGTCGCTCCGACCGGGGGCGGCGGCCGGCGAGCGGCGCGGGATCACGCCAACAGTGCGGAGCGTGTCTGCTCCCCTCTGCCGCGCCACGATGCTCGGGAGCGTGTAGCTGCCCGGCCGTGCCAAGCTATGCTGCTGGCGCTCGGCCTGCTGGGCGGCGTGTGCGCTGTGCTGGCGCCAGCGGATGGGCGGCCGCTGCCTGCCGCTTACCCCCCGCGGACCGGCTCAGTCCCGCTTGCGCCGGTCTCGCCCGGGCAGCGTCGCCAAGCACAGCTCGGTCCAGCTCGTCGGCGGCGGGACGGCGGGGGGTGGGCCGCGATGGCGGCCGGGCGGGTGACGCCTCCGCCGCCGGCCACCACGCCTCGGCGGCGCAACATCACCTTCGACACGTCCGACTCGTACTTCACCGACTGGATGTCGGTCCTGCAGCGGCCGGTGGCGCCTCTGCCCGCCGCCTCCGCGGGCGCCGGCGCGGCCCGCCGCCGAGCCGCTGTCGGCAGGGCCGTCGCGCCGCCGCCGCCGCCGCGGGTCGTCATCGGCCAGGACGGCCAGGTGACGGTGCTGGGCGCCGGCGGCAGCGGGTTCGTGGTGGCCGGCCCGCTGGGTGTGCACGTGAAGGTGCCGCGGCCGGCCTGGCGCTCTGGACGTGCATACGGCGGCAGCGCCGGCGTCGGCCGACGGCGGCCCGCTGGTCTCCACGGGACGGCTGTTCGTCGAGGTGCTCGTGCCGGGCGCCGGCGGACAGCGCGCGCCGCCGGCGCCGCCGTCCGGCCCCTCCGGCCCGTCCGGCCCGGCTCCGTCGAAGCCGGCCGGCGAGAGCGGGCGGCGCGGCTCCCGGCGCGGCGGTAGCGCCGCAGACCACGCCCATCCCGGACGTGGAGGACGGCGAGCCGTCCGGCGCCGCCGAGGATGAGGACCCGGCCGACAGCCGACGCCGACGCCGACGCCTCCCTGTGCGCGGCCGGCTCCGGCCAGGAGACGACGGTGACGGTGACGCGCCGCAACCCTGACGGTGGTGCACCGGCTGCCGGGCCTGGCGCCGGCGGCGCTGGCGCAGATGACGGCCATCATCTCGGCGCTGGGCGCCGGGCTGAGCATCGACGAGCCGCCGCCGCCGCTGCTGCTGGGCTGCGCGCAGGGCGGCCGACACGCCGCCGCCAGCGGCCGCGGCCGGACCGGGCAACGGCCGGTGTGTCTGCCTCGGCAACGGCCGTCTGCGTCAGCATCAGCCGCTGTCGCGACCACTGCTGCTCCCACAGCGATGACGGGCGGCGGAGACCCTTCACCTCCACAGCGGAGTCGACTGTTAGAGCTCCGACAACCACGTCACGTGCGCCAACCACAGTGGCTATGGCTCCTGCGCTGACCACGACCACGACACGTGCACCGACCACGACAACCACGACACGTCCACCAACCACAACCACGACACGTGCACCGACCACAACCACGACACGTGCACCGACCACACCACGACACGTCCACCACCAACAACCACGACACGTGCACCGACCACAACCACGACACGTCCACCAACCACAACCACGGCACGTGCACCAACCACAACCACAACACGTGCACCAACCACAACCACGACACGTGCACCAACCACAGCAACCGCGACACGTGCACCAACCACAACCACGACACGTGCACCGACCACAACCACGACACGTGCGCCAACCACAACCACGACACGTGCACCGACCACAACTACGACACGTCCCACCACCACAGCCACGAACACGTCCGCCAACCACAACCACGACACGTCCACCAACCACGACCGCAACACGTCCATCAACCACAACCACAACACGTCCGCCAACCACAACCACAACACGTGCACAAACCACACCACCACAAACCCGTCCACCAACCGCCACCACGACACGTCTACCAACCACAACCACAACACGTCCACCAACCACAACCACATCACGTCCGCCAACCACAACCACAACACGGTCCACCAACCACACAACCACGACACGTCCCACCAACCACCACTACTACAACGTCCACCCAACCACAACCACAACACGTCCACCAACCACAACCACAAACACGTCCACCAACCACAACCATAACCGCGTCCGCCAACCACAACACGTGCACCAACCACAACAACCACGACACGCCCACCAACCACCACCACTACACGTCCACCAACCACAACCACGACACGTCCACCAACCACAACACGCTCACCAACTACAACAACCACGACACGTCCACCAACCACCACAACCTCGAAGCCATCGACAACTACGGCACAGGCGCCTACAACAGCAACACCTCCAACGATCCCAGTCTGGGAAATTACAGCATGGACAACCGCCTCAACACCGACAGCCGTAGTGAGTGCAGCTACAACGTCCACCACGCCGACAAGGCGTTCAACCACCGCAAACAGAGCCACAACCCCGAAAACGACAGCCGCCTCAACGTCGACCACAGCTCGCCCAGCTGCGGCCGCCTCCAGCGGCTGGACGCCGACGCGGATGCCGCCCTGGTGGATGACGACCCGGCGGCCCTCGCCGAGCACGGCGGTGGACTGGGCGACGCTGTTCGAGCAGCCGTTCATCCTGGGCGGCAGCCAGCTGTGGGAGGTGGTGGAGCAGCAGCCGCCGGACCGAGTCAGTCAGGTGCAGGGCGGCCAGCTGGGCCTCTTCCCGGCGCAGCTGCAGCGGCCGGCGCCGGCGGCCGGCCCGGCAGCGGTCGCCAGGGGTGGCCTAGGGCCCGGCTCGGCAGACCTCCCCGACGGCGGCCGCCAGGGGCTGACCTGGGGCCCTGGCCCAGCCGACCTCCCCGGCGGCGGTCGCCAGAGCTGACCTGGGGCCCGACGCTGCCAGCCGGCCCGGCGGCGGCCGCCAGGGCTGACCTGGGGTCTAGCCTGGCCGACTTCTCCAGCGGCGGGCGGCGACCGTGACTGAGGGACGAGCAGTGACGGGACGAGACAAGCGGCTCCGCTGTGTCACCCAGTATTGCGAGTGCTGCCGTGGATGTTGTTAATAGGCTAGACTTGGTGTCGCTTCCTTGCACAATAAAATGCCAGGGTAAGAATGGTCTCATTTGCATCAGCCACCGTTGTTTTTTCGTCGTCGCGTAATGTTTCCAGACATGCTTTTGCGCGATGAGTGTTCGGTATGCAGTCGTCTGATAAGGCCTTGGAAAAGCGCTGCGCGAAATTCTCAGCTGACCCACAGACACGTCACGTAAGTTTTTTAGATGCTGATCCACCACAAGCCAACTTCAGCCGAATACCTGGGTGCACGTCGTTAAAAGCTCGCCTTTTCCTTTAATTTTTCCATTAACGGATAATCTGATGTGATGTAATTTTTTCCATAAACGGATGAACTGATGTGAATCCGGTCAAACGGTGTGTCGTACGAAAAGTTAATTGACGTGCATTTCTTGTGGTCATCGCACACCCTTTGAGAGGGACCAAAACAAGATTTGCAAAGCCAGTTTGTTGCGTGTAGATGTTATCTGAGCGGAGCCTTCTACCGACCGTTTTCGATAAGTGACCAGGTTAGCGCCAACAAAAACGTCATATTTTGCGTAGATGTTGGTCAGTGAACTTTGCCGTACGTCTTGGCCGCCGTCGTGGCCCCGTGCATCTCGGCTTAGGTCTCTGGGTGTCTTGGAGGACCGGGGTCAATGACGCGACATTAGCCACTTCCCGGTCGATTACGGCGCATCTTGGGTCGGACAGCGCCAAGACCGCGATTTAGAGTTGGTCGTACATTCTCTTACACCCGCCCTTGGTTTTGCTTCAACTGCGTTTGATTGTCGAGGTCCGATGTCATGGGATGTCGATCGTTAAAAATGGGTGGTGGTTTACGGTTGAGAACGCGTGACTTGGCTTCACACATTGACCCGCAGTCTGCCGGTACGAAATCGCCCGCCCATGCCTCCGTCAAATTCTTCGTGTCGTACGGGGTACGCGCTGAATCACCCCAATGTGGGTTCCGGGTTAGACCTGTATTGTTTGGTAAGGGGTACGACCCTGGTCACCCAGATAAGGGTCCGGTTTAGACCCGCGTTGTTTGGTACGGGTACGACTCTCGTCACCAAAACGTGGGTCCGGGTTTAGACCCGCGTTGTTTGGTACTAGTACGACACTGGTCCACTCCAATGGTGGGTCCGGTTTAGACCCGTGTTGTTTGGTACGGGTACGACTCTGGTCACCCAAATGTGGGTCAGATGTAGACCAGCGCTGTGTGATTGTTACTTACCAGGAAAATGTTTCAATTGACGGCCAGATCCAACGCGGAGGCCGTGCATATTGGAATGCGGCAGAATAATCGGGCCAAAATCATCGAGGGGCATGACTGCATATGCCCCCGAAATTATGCAACACAAGTTGTTTATAATCTCCCCTCGTTTTGATGGTAATTGCATAAAGTTGCGACTAGTGTTTACAAGTTCAGAAAAGATGTAGAGTGTAGCAGTCAAGCTGGCGCGGGCTGCTCAAATGAAAAATACCGATTTACTGATGATACTAGCTCAGCCTACGCTTTCGGAACTGTATTCTTTGCCGTTGAGGACCTAGAACCACCTGCCTAAGTCCTGAACGTGGTAAGTTTATGCGCTGGATGTAGCTTCAAGTTATGCTGCTCCGCGACCCCGGAGCGCTCATGTGGCCATCGTAGTCGCTGACGCTCCTTAAACACGGCTTGCTCGTCAACGCACGTGGCCTACGTGACAAGCAGTGGCATCATTTGGGCGGATGCGCCGCCGTTCTCGCGCTGCCGCTGCCGCCAGCGGGCTGGCGATCCACGGTGACCGTCGCCGCTGTTGCAGGGATTCCAGCTGATCGTGTCGTCGGCGAAGCCGAGCCCGGCCAGCGGGGCCGCCGTCGGCCGGGCCGTCTTCCCGCAGCGGGTGCCCGAGGAGCGCGAGGAGTACCTGCTGAGCATCGGCCGCATCTTCCACCGGGTGCTGCTCAGCGGCTCGGCCATCAACGTCACACACTACCGGCCCAGGTGAGCCGGCGCCATCAACGTCACACACTACCGGCCCAGGTGAGCCGGCGCCATCAACGTCACACACTACCGGCCCAGGTGAGCCGGCGCCATCAACGTCACTCATTACCGGCCCAGGTGAGCCGGCGCCATCAACGTCACACACTACCGGCCCAGGTGAGCCGGCGCCATCAACGTCACACACTACCGGCCCAGGTGAGCCGGCGCCATCAACGTCACACACTACCGGCCCAGGTGAGCCGGTGCCATCAACGTCACACACTACCGGCCCAGGTGAGCCGGCGCCATCAACGTCACACACTACCGGCCCAGGTGAGCCGGTGCCAATCAACGTCACACATTACCGGCCCAGTGAGCCGGCGCCATCAACGTCACACACTACCGGCCCAGGTGAGCCGGCGCCATCAACGTCACCACACTACCGGCCCAGGTGAGCCGGTGCCATCCAACGTCACTCACTACCGGCCCAGGTGAGCCGGCGCCATCAACGTCACACACTAACGGCCCAGGTGAGCCGGGTGCCATCAACGTCACTCACTACCGGCCCAGGTGAGCCGGCGCCATCAACGTCACTCATACCGGCTCAGGTGAGCCGGGCCATCAACGTCCACAACTACCGGCCCAGGTGAGCCGGCGCCATCAACGTCACACACTACCGGCCCAGGTGAGCCGGCGCCATCAACGTCACACACACTACCGGCCCAGGTGAGCCGGCGCCATCAACGTCACTCATTACCGGCCCAGGTGAGCCGGCGCCATCAACGTCACACACTACCGGCCCAGGTGAGCCGGCGCCATCAACGTCCCACACTACCGGCCCAGGTGAGCCGGCGCCATCAACGTCACACACTACCGGCCCAGGTGAGCCGGCGCCATCAACGTCACACACTACCGGCCCAGGTGAGCCGGCGCCATCAACGTCACACACTACCGGCCCAGGTGAGCCGGCGCCATCAACGTCACACACTACCGGCCCAGGTGAGCCGGCGCCATCAACGTCACTCATTACCGGCCCAGGTGAGCCGGTGCCATCAACGTCACACACTACCGGCCCAGGTGAGCCGGCGCCATCAACGTCCCACACTACCGGCCCAGGTGAGCGCGGCGCCATCAACGTCACACACTACCGGCCCAGGTGAGCCGGCGCCATCAACGTCACACCTACCGGCCCAGGTGAGCCGGCGCCATCAACGTCACACACTACCGGCCCCAGGTGAGCCGGCGCCATCAACGTCACACACTACCCGGCCCAGGTGAGCCGGCGCCATCAACGTCCACACACTACCGGCCCAGGTGAGCCGGCGCCATCAACGTCACACACTACCGGCCCAGGTGAGCCGGCGCCATCAACGTCACACACTACCGGCCCAGGTGAGCCGGCGCCATCAACGTCACATCACTTACCGGCCCAGGTGAGCCGGCGCCATCAACGTCACACACTACCGGCCCAGGTGAGCCGGCGCCATCAACGTCACACACTACCGGCCCAGGTGAGCCGGCGCAATCAACGTCACACACTACCGGCCCAGGTGAGCCGGCGCCATCAACGTCACTCATTACCGCCCAGTGAGCCGGCCGCCATCAAACGTCACATCATTACCGGCCCAGGTGAGGCGGCGCCATCAACGTCACACACTACCGGCCCAGGTGAGCCGGCGCCATCAACGTCACAACTACCGGCCCAGGTGAGCCAGTGCCATCAACGTCCCACACTACCGGCCCAGGTGAGCCGGCGCCATCAACGTCACACGTCACCCACTACCGGCCCAGGTGAGCCGGCGCCATCAACGTCACACACTACCGGCCCAGGTGAGCCGGCGCATCAACGTCACTCATTACCGGCCCAGGTGAGCCGGCGCCATCAACGTCACACACTACCGGCCCAGGTGAGCCGGCGCCATCAACGTCACACACTACCGGCCCAGGTGAGCCGGCGCCATCAACGTCACACACTACCTACCGGCCCAGGTGAGCCGGCGCCATCAACGTCACTCATTACCGGCCCAGGTGAGCCGGCGCCATCAACGTCACACACTACCTACCGGCCCAGGTGAGCCGGCGCCATCAACGTCCCACACTACCGGCCCAGGTGAGCCGGCGCCATCAACGTCACACACTACCGGCCCAGGTGAGCCGGCGCCATCAACGTCACACACTACCGGCCCAGGTGAGCCGGCGCCATCAACGTCACACACTACCGGCCCAGGTGAGCCCGCCATCAACGTCACACACTACCGGCCCAGGTGAGCCGGCGCCATCAACGTCCCACACTACCGGCCCAGGTGAGCCGGCGCCATCAACGTCACACACTACCGGCCCAGGTGAGCCGGCGCCATCAACGTCACACTACCGGCCCAGGTGAGCCGGCGCCATCAACGTCACACACTACCTACCGGCCCAGGTGAGCCGGCGCCATCAACGTCACTCATTACCGGCCCAGGTGAGCCGGCGCCATCAACGTCACACACTACCGGCCCAGGTGAGCCGGCGCCATCAACGTCCCACACTACCGGCCCAGGTGAGCCGGCGCCATCAACGTCACACACACTACCGGCCCAGGTGAGCCGGCGCCATCAACGTCACACACTACCGGCCCAGGTGAGCCGGCGCCATCAACGTCACACACTACCGGCCCAGGTGAGCCGGCGCCATCAACGTCACACACTACCGGCCCAGGTGAGCCGGCGCCATCAACGTCACTCATTACCGGCCCAGGTGAGCCGGCGCCATCAACGTCACACACTACCGGCCCAGGTGAGCCGGCGCCATCAACGTCCCACACTACCGGCCCAGGTGAGCCGGCGCCATCAACGTCACACACTACCGGCCCAGGTGAGCCGGCGCCATCAACGTCACACACTACCGGCCCAGGTGAGCCGGCGCCATCAACGTCACACACTACCGGCCCAGGTGAGCCGGCGCCATCAACGTCACACACTACCGGCCCAGGTGAGCCGGCGCCATCAACGTCCCACACTACCGGCCCAGGTGAGCCGGCGCCATCAACGTCACACACTACCGGCCCAGGTGAGCCGGCGCCATCAACGTCACACACTACCGGCCCAGGTGAGCCGGCGCCATCAACGTCACTCATTACCGGCCCAGGTGAGCCGGTGCCATCAACGTCACATACTACCGGCCCAGGTGAGCCGGCGCCATCAACGTCACACACTACCGGCCCAGGTGAGCCGGCGCCATCAACGTCACACACTATCGGCCCAGGTGAGTCGGCGCCATCAACGTCACTCATTACCGGCCCAGGTGAGCCGGCGCCATCAACGTCACTCATTACCGGCCCAGGTGAGCCGGCGCCATCAACGTCACACACTACCGGCCCAGGTGAGCCGGCGCCATCAACGTAGTCACACTACCGGCCCAGGTGAGCCAGTGCCATCAACGTCCCACACTACCGGCCCAGGTGAGCCGGCGCCATCAACGTCACACGTCACCCACTACCGGCCCAGGTGAGCCGGCGCCATCAACGTCACACACTACATGCCCAGGTGAGCCGGCGCCATCAGCCTCACACACTACCGACCCAGGTGAGCCGGCGCCATCAGCCTCACACACTACCGACCCAGGTGAGCCGGCGCCATCAACGTCACACACTACATGCCCAGGTGAGCCGGCGCCATCAGCCTCACACACTACCGACCCAGGTGAGCCGGCGCCATCAGCCTCACACACTACCGGCCCAGGTGAGCCGGCGCCATCAACGTCACACACCCACTACCGGCCCAGTCGAGCTGGCACCATCAACATCACACCTGCCGGCCCAGATCAGCCTGCTTCGAGAGGCCCTGTCCCGTGAGAACGCTGTGGCGCAGTGCAGCAGCCGCTGGCGCCGATTTAGGAAACATTGGACGCGGTCAGTCCTGCTTTCATGTCCGGCTGGATATAGCGTGTGTACCGCTTTGGTCGGAGCCAAGTTCAGACTGTTATCACGTAAGGCTTGTTCCGGGGCGGGTCAAACAGGCAGTATCGCATGTGCAGCGCGCCTGGTGGCATTCCATGCACGGAGCTCTGCTCACTGGTCACTCCCGGCCGACGCCAGCACTGACATGCCGGCGGCCGCCGCTGCTGCCGCCACAGCGCTTTGTGCGGCGGTGCTGTGTACGGCGGTGCTGTGTGCGGCGGTGCTGTGTGCGGCGGTGCTGTGACCGGGCCCTGGCCGGCAGACACCCGTACCCGGTGCGCCGCGTCTCGTACCG